TATAATTAATGTGAGAGCGCCAAAAACATACAGTCCATACGATGCGACTGCCAATTTATATGGCCGCACTTGGTGTGGCGCGTTTATTAATAGTGTAAAATAAATTAAACGAATATCAATTATAACCAAGCCTGTCAGCGTGTTTTTTTCTGTGGGCAAGAATGGTAAAAATAACCATCTTGAGACAAATTCACTTCTATTATAAAATCTAATTTTTCAGTTATTATCGTTATACAAATACGTGTGGCAACTTTTTAATTTATCGTCGACCAAAAACCGCCCCACACTCGTCCAAACGTGTGTCAAGCTTGACCGACAGGAACAGATTCATCGTCGACGTTAATTAGGGAAATATGTATTTTGTTGGGAATGTAAAATAAATGTAACAAAACGCATTTTTTTGTGATAAAACTTTGTATTTTCGGAAACGGATGTGCCGTGAAGGGTAAAATTTGATTTAAATTAATCCCAAAAATGTTTTATTTTAAATGTAAACAAACACATTTTTGCGATTTAACCTTGTATTTTCGAAAACGGGTGTCCTGAAAATAAAATAATGATCTAAATTAATCGCAAAAATGTTTTATTTTAAATGTAACAAAACACATTTTTCGCAATACAACTGTATTTTCGGATACCGGGTGTCATGAAGAGTAAAATATGATCTGAATTAACCGTAAATAATGTTTCATTCCAAATGTATCAAAACGCATTTTTTTGGCGATATATATAATTTTGTATTTTCCGAAAACGGGGCGTCATGAAATATATTAATCTAATGTTTTATCTATCGTCTAACTAACGTCTGGTACACATCATTTTCGGGGAGAACTCTAGCCCGCGAAACGTCATTTAAATTTAAAATAGAGAAATGTTCCACGCATTCCAAAACGGAAAATCACCAGTAAGTCGACAGGGATTCAACCCTCCGGATTCAGTATTATATATCCCCCGTGTCAGAAATTTCTCAAGATTGGAACAAGAACCGGTCAAACCGCCGCGGAAGAAGGGGAGTATTTTTTGCACTAATAGTTAGGGCGTGACATTTATCAAATCATCGTCAAGAAACTGGTGAATTTTCAAAATTCCATAAATAAAATTGTGAATTGCTTGGTAACATTTTAGCTATAATTATCGCCGGGGTATTGTTTTGTTGAAAACCTGTTGAAACTTGAGGGAATTAGTTACAATTAGCGCCTGACCTCTTCGAAAAAAAAAGCACTCGAGTCCAATCTTTTCAGCATTAAGTCGCATACGTAAAATATCCTGTAAAAGAAGTGCTGTTCATTAACGTTATCTCGTCCTATGACCACGCAGAAATTCCTTTATTGCCGAATTATTCAATCACTATTTTAAATCAACATTCAGATTGGCACATTTCAGATTTGCCAGTTTATCACCATAGAAAAACATGAGAAAGTTAATTATCGTCTTAATAAATATCAGCATCACGGTAATCGACAATAATATTACCATTCCCATAAAATTGGGACCGTAAATTTACAAAATTTGATAGGTAATATTTAACCGCCAACGCAAAATGTTAATTTTGAGTCCCCAATGTCTTCAACAGCTGTTGCCGATGTGAACAAACGGGTAAACCCCGAAATATAAAACTTTCGATGTCCGCCGACCCGCAAGAATTCATATTTGTAAAAAAGAGAGGGCGGGAATATAGATTAACAAAACCTGGATATCGCCGCCAAACGATCGGTGACAAGAACAATTAAGCGATTAACAACGGAATTAACCAGTAAAAAGGCTTTGTTGCCGATTTTTTAATGTTTCACCACGTTCCAAAAATATTTGTTATTCGGTACTCGTTAAAAATATTCAATTCAATAAAATATTGAATTTTGCCCACCCGTACTCGCATATCAATGAGAAATAGTTGTGTAAATACTGCAATTGCCACGTGATTTCAACATTGTGATTACAATAAATGGCACTTAATGGTATTTTGTGAATTTGGTGATTTTGCAATCTGTGACATGCTGCTAAAGTTTCGTCTGAAATTTGAAAATCGTGCACTTTGGGTCACATACCTCCAAAGTGACTATACACTTTTATAAGTCATTTTGAATTCAACGATATCATTGATAGTCACATGACCAACTTTCGTTTAAAGAAAGGCACTGGTAGTATTCCAAATCTGGTTTCAAGACGGGGAGCGTTTTTGCGGGAGAAAGCGGAATGGGTGTGCTTGTATAATAATCATATATAAACAGAATTTTGCCGTTAATGCAAAAGCTTTATCTACTATGTCTGCATCTCATAGGTTAGAATTCCGGTAAAATATCGTTATGATATGCAGAATTGAGTTACAAAGTACTAGTATGTTACTTATTTGTCACTTAATTACTCGAAAATATTTGTTAACTTTGAATTTTTATTCCATTCAAAATCGGAAAAAAGTGCTATTTCTCTTCAAAATCGGAAAAAAGTGCTATTTCGCAGTCCCTAAAAAAAGTTTGCGAAAGTGCTTCGCATTTTCGGCAAAAAGTGCGCTAATAGTGAACACTGCGTAGGAGACTCGATAAAAATTAAAATTTGAATAATCTTTTTTATCAGCAATAATAGCATCTGACGCACACCGTTGAACTTGACATCACCCTGGCGTTGCTCCACTTCGAAGACGAGTCATGTTGCGTCGCCGTTACAGATTTGATGCCAGATATTCGGGCGCCGACGAGTAGACGTATATTTGAAAATAACAACGATATTTTGTTCGATTGATCAATATCGGCTAAAATATACGCAACAACAGTTTTTTGTGAATCGTAAATTCATGGCGTCAAATGCTGGAAATTTAATACAATCAAAGCAGTCGAGAAGCAGTCGAGAATATTGAGTAAATATAAAAAGTATAATAACAGCGATAAATAACAACAATTCATTGTTGCAAAATGAGTTCTGTTTCGTGAATTTAACGAAAGTAATTTTAAATAAAGTTGCCAATTGCCAAATCGGTATTTTGTCATGATTTATGCACGACCGACATTTAAATAGGTCAATTTGATAAAGAATCCGGTCATGTCAATGCTTATTAATAGTATATATATTGTGCGACTATACATGGTGAGGAGTGTAAAAAACGCTATCCAAACATTATCGGCTATAACAAAATCGACTATGATCGGTGAATATTCGGGATCTAAAGTTACGATGAGAGAAAATGAAATGAGACAACTTGAAAGTGCCGCGGCGGAAATCCACGGTCGACCATTATCATAGTCACTCGCGCACGAGACGTAAAGCGTGTTTTGTCTTCACGCATGCACTTTTCGCTCTAGTTGCGGTGATACACCCATCCGAAGTTAGATATTTATTTGCGTCTTTACAGATCGCAGAAAATGAGACAATTACGACAGAAAAATGAATCCGATCGTCGAGACAATTATATGCAGATGCAGAGAATTGGATCAATGTAATCAATGTAATATAATTTGGCGCAATAATACGCAACAAACGGCAGAGTTATTGATTAAAATATAGTGAAATCATCCGAAGTTAGCTGCTTTTACGGTAATAATCCTCTGGTTTTGACTTGTTCAGTCCAAGCTAGTTTTACTATGATTTGATTTTGACTTTAATCTAACATGAAAAATTCAAGAAAGCTAGCAGCACAATCACCTTTAAATTACGATGAGAATATTCTGACCAGCCATGCCTCAATAATTGGCTGAGTCAGAATCAAACTGAAACAGATTCAAAACTTTAATCTGTCTGTTAATCGGTAATAATTTTCTTTCCTCTTCACTGTCTGTCTGTGATAAATATGTACCGGTACCATAAATCCAGTCATAATACTGTAATAGAGGAGATTTTTTCAAAATAAACTGGGTCTGGTATAGTTTAGTATCACATGCCCCCCTTCTAGTTGACCTGGCTCGACAATTTTTGCATATGTCAATTCTAACCCTCACCTGACTACGTCACCCAAAAACGGCTGACGGACAACTCGACTACACGGACAACTCACCAGAGACAACTCGACTACCTAGAGGCCTGGTGAGTTGTCCGTCTTTTGGCATTTTCTATGGTGGTGTTTTAGGTCTATAGAAATGCGTTTTTGATATTTTTAGTGCTCGAATGTTGAGAAAAATAAAAAATATGCTCTAGAAAGCATTTTTATTTGTATAGGTGGCTTTTTTGATCATGTTGTATGAATACAAATACAGTCTATAGACGAAATTGGAGTAACGTTAGCGAAGTTAGACTGTTGACTTATAGGACTGTGTTCGTTTGATTTTTTGAACTTTATTGGTATTAAAAGTTTTGAATGAGCACCTTTAAATATATTAAAACCTTTATACTTCACAGTAACACTTAAATATTTATGAATGTGAGCTCAGTAGTCTATGATTGCAGTAGTCTGAACTCGACTACGGCAGTCGCCCGACAGGCCGTCAACTCACCAGTCGAGCAAACGCTCTACGACGTGACGTCATCGATGCTCGAGGTGAAGACAACTCGACTACCGAGCAACGAGAGGCAGGCAACTCACCAGCCGAGCAATCGCTCTGCGATATCGATGCTCGTGGAGAAGACCTTGCTTTGCAAAACGCAGACTCAAGAGTTGCATAGCATTTACTTAGTGCCGACTGATATCAGTTGTAAGCCAACTCACCACCTGAGTAGTCTACCAGCCGACGGCTAGGTTTCATCTGCTGGGATACAACAATCGGGTCGGAGTTATGATGGGTGTCATGGGCCTGGTAGCAGTCCGGGTACTTCCACTCAAACGTTACGTCCTGTTTTTTTAATAGGCTGTACTGTTCCCTTGTCATTGCCACATCTGAATTATTAAAACACTTGCGATGAAACCAATTTCGACAGACGTCACAGATGAGTCCCTCCTGTTTCATGGTAACGTTGTCGTCACATTTTTGGAGTAGTCATCTTGAATTCTTGCGTAGTTTTTGTGGAGTTAATATACCGTTAGTCGTCCTCGTTTCAGTATAAAACTGTGATAAAACGACCTCGGCTAATGAGTATTTACGTTTGTAGGGGGCAGGCCGGCGATAATGAGGCTTTAAACTCGGCGATAACCGAGCAGTAATCTCGGCGCGCGGCTTCATTATCACCGATCTGGTACCTTATCTAATCTCCGTGCATGGATATCACTTCACTCAGGCCATCATGAAGAATGTGCGTCACAATAATTTGGCTCGCCTATACGACAAGTGAGTGGTTAACCATATTTATATATGTCTTTGTACATCTTTCATTCTTTTGTATTAACATGTTTTTGGTTTAGGGACGCTGGAACAAGAGACCTGATCAAGCATGCCATGGCGCTGTGCTATATACCAGCTATGTTTATTACGTCCATATTCAAATCACTGAACGAAAAGATGCAAACTCAAGATCTTCGCCGAATATTTTCAAAACACATGGCTATACAACAGTGTCTGGACTCCCAATGATTGGTCAGTATTCGACGTAGAAATAAGAACCAACAATCATCTGGAAGGTTGGCAACGCCATTTTAACAATATAACTCGGAAAAATATGCCTTTTTACAGTTTAATCTCAACAATGTACGAGGTAAGTATAGGGATAGAGGCGGACGTTGTGGGGCGTGTCAACGGCAGGTATGCGGAAGCCAACGAGAGGGTGCAACGTGTCTGGGAACAGAACAAGGAAAGAGAGTTATCTGTGGACTCTCTTCTTCGAAAGTGTTCAAGGATCTACGGGCCGCAGTATTGCAAAGAGTAAGTATGTAACGCAGCAAATTTCCCATAACGTTTAGTATTCAAATAAAATTCATTATTCGTAACGAAAAGGAAAACAAAACCTTCCATCCATTAAATTCCCCCATAACGTTTAGTATTCAAACATCATATTAAATTCATTAATCGTGACAAAAAGTAAACATCTTCTATCCATTCTTCGGCCCAGTTTCTTTGCCAGGCGCAGCGACAGTGCCTATCTGTTCCTGGTTTTATTCTGCAAAAAGAAATTCCAACTCTATGACTGAAACCTTGCCGTGGTGAGTTGGCTTACAACTAATATCAGTCGGCACTAAGTAAATGCTATGCAACTCTTGAGTTAGCATCTCTTGTTTTGCAAAGCAAGGTCTTCTCCTCGAGCATCGATATCGCAGAGCGATAGCTCGACTAGTGAGTTGTCTGCCTCTCGTTGCTCGGTAGTCAAGTTGTCTTCACCTCGAGCATCGATGACGTCACGTCGCAGAGCGTTTGCTCGACTGGTGAGTTGACGGCCTGTCGGGCGACTGCAGACTACTGCAACCATAGACTACTGAGCTCACATTCATAAATATTTAAGTGTTACTGTGAAGTATAAAGGTTTTAATATATTTAAAGGTGCTCATTCAAAACATTTAATACCAATAAAGTTCAAAAAATTAAACGAACACAGTCCTATAAGTCAACAGTCTAACTTCGCTAACGTTACTCCAATTTCGTCTGTAGACTGTATTTGTATTCGTACAACATGATCAAAATAAGCCACTTATACAAATAAAAATGCTTTTTAGAGCATATTTATGTGTTTTTCTCAACACTTGAGCACTAAAAATATCAAAAACGCATTTCTATAGACCTAAAACACCACCGTAGAAAATGCCAAAAGACGGACAACTCACCAGGCCTCTAGGTAGTCGAGTTGTCTCTGGTGAGTTGTCCGTGTAGTCGAGTTGTCCGCCTCCCCCAAAAACTACCGGTACGTCATTTCACCGTTAACAGTGGCGTACCGGTAATAAGGCCCACCAAAGTATGCGAATGGTCGTCCAAAACGCGCAGATGATCACCCGAAATCGAGCAAGCTATTTCTCTCGTATTCTCGTCACAACGTTCACAATAGAAGAGATATCGCCGGCTTTAGCGAGCTCGTTATCGGCGGCGCAGATGCCATTTCGGGCGATCGTAATTATACTTTGGCAAGCCCTATGACGTGTTGGTGACATCGTAGTGACGTAATTTTTGGATGGCATAGTCAGGTGGGGGTTAGGAATAACATAGGCAAAATTCGTTGCCTATGTTATTCGTTGCCTACGTCCACTGGAAATACCTGTGGTACGGTACGGTACTAAACTACCTATACTAGACCCAATAAACTAGGTACCGTCTGACCGTATTATCTTGCATACGTAGGCATACCGGTACCGGTACCTATTCAATCCTGAAAATTGAAAAATTGCATGCCTGCTAGAGGAGACCAAAGTTAATACGCAGCCTAAATTTAATAACAAAGCGGTCTTCAACGAACACAACAACGACGACTAATCTGCAAGATCTGCAATAGGCGACCGTAAACGAAAACAATAATAACAAAATATCATAATCTTATCAGCTATTCAAAATCCATCCCACGCGGGAATAAAATAAAATTAAATAAATTTTTAATAAAATTTAAAATTTGGCCGTATGCAAAGGAATTTTAACTTTGGGTGTAAGATATTTTTATATAGTTTTGGGCAGTTGTGTATTCATTACAATTCCTTTCCTTCCATCGTTTGCCTCGTACCAGTTGTATGCTTTTTTTTTATCATGGTATGCCAACGCTCATCGGTTAGTCAAGGTAATTGGCTCTGTTGTATTGGGTAGTAACTGACTCAGATGACCGTAAATGGTCGTATCGTTTACTCCCAGTCATACCGGAAACTTTTGTTTCAATTATATTGTTATTATTATTATATTATAGAATAGATTATGTGTTTTTGCGTTTAACAAAATAATAACTTTTCTCTCTTTGACAGGACAAAAATTTCATATTGTTCTGGGCGGGAGTGGAAAGTCGATAAGACGGCATGATAATATTGCGTACCAAGGCCAATCTCACAGTTATCAGTCCATATCTGGATGAGATTAGTTAGCCATTTATTTCCTTTCAGTTGCATGGACCTAATGAGAAAGCCGTAATCGACCAGCTGTTACGTGTCCAATTCCCAGTATTTTTAACAAAGCTTTGTGAAAGTTGTTTCGTCGGGGTCTCATTATTGTTAACCCTGGTTAACTCACAAATTCACAATATAGGATATATGTTGGAGGAGATTTCAACTGCGTTTTGAAAAAAATCGATAAATACCCAAATAAAAGATACAAAGAGGATAATAGTGTAAAAAATTGAATGAATTTATTACAACATTAGATTTAGTATATGGAGACACATCAATACACACAAAAACAATACATAGATACAAAAAAGCAACAATATGCAAAATTTAAACTCTGAGAGTCGATTAGATCGGTGATATGTTTTCGCAATGTCACATTCACAATTTTACTACTGTTATGTAAAGCTACCACAGAATGGAAGAAATGCCCCAAGATACAATAACAGGAGTCATAACCCTAATATATAAGAATGAAGAAAAAAAGATATAAAAAATTGGCGAACCATCACTCTCCTTAATTTTGATTAATGGTTGATAGCTGAAACAAGATAGCTATGCTCAAATATATGGACACGTAGCGCCACATAATTTTGATGACGTCATAGCAGAAGTAAAAGTAATAGCCTTCTGGAGAAAAATTCCATCTTTAACCATTGAAAATTTCAAAGCAACTATTCCAGAAATTGAAGAGAAAAGCGATTTCTTCAAAACGTGTCAATGAACAAGAACAACATAACAACAAAACGATCGTTATGTCCACTAAACGTGTCCAATAATTGCAAACAGAATATAAAGTACATTACCAGACATAATCGACATTAACCAAACTGCCTTTGTTCCAGGGAGATCAATTCACGAAAATCTTATCTCTATTCGAGACAACATATTTTGGGCAAACAAGGAAAATTTACCATTAATTGTTTTATCAATAGATCAACAAAAACATATGATATGACAGACAGAAATATACTAGTATTAATAAAAAAATCTGGATTGGGAAAAACCTCATAAATTGGATAATTACTTCATATAAAAATGCTTCTTCAAAATAAATGTGAATGGATATTTGACAGAAAAAATTTGGATGCAAAGAGGTGTGAGGCAGGGCGGCCCCGTTCTCCATTGTTATATTAATTCATTTCAGAATTGATATCATCAAATATCAAAAGCGACAAAGAAGTAACTGGATTTAAGAACTGCATAAATCAGAGAGAAGTTTATAAAGAATTTGCAGATGACATAACACTGACCCTTGAATCATTGTCATCTGTAGATTCAGTGTTAAAATTATTCGGATTATTTCAACGTGGCACTGGTCTTAAATAAATAAAAACAAATGTACAATGCTTATATGTGGAACTGCTCGAAGTTGGCCGTAGAATGGTATAACTGTAAAACGTGAGGACATTAAATTACATTAATTGGCAAAAATACAAAAAGTTGTAAATCTTTTGAAAGGGCGGAATCTAACTATTGTTGGAAGAGTTCTTATAGCTAAAACCCCTGCTACAATCAAAATTATGGTACATGGTCAGTTTTAAATTTAAGACAGAAAAATATATTCAGAAATTGGAAGTAAATATTTGGAAATTTATTTAGAATGAAAAAGCGCAAATGATCAGTAGGAATATCAGTTGTAGTGAACAAAATGAAAGGGGTATAAAAATGATAAACGTTAGGAAGCAAATTAAGGCATCGCAAATTGCTTCAGCCGGATATGAGTTCTTGGGCTAAAAGAGCAAAATTTTATGTGAATAGGTATTTTAAAGTGTTGTCAAAAGGTAATTTAGAATGTTTACATTTGAATTTTAAAATGAAAACTAACATCAATATTCCAAAGTTTTATACCAGTATTATTAATTCATTCAAACAAGTTAGCTTAGAATGGAATCAACCACAAAACTATGGGAAATATCACAGGAAATTGATTGGCACAATCCATCAATCTTAGATAGGAATAAAATTGAACTCACTGCAAAATTAAGTTGGGTTCAAGCAAAAATAATAACAGTTGGTGATATACTTGACAAACGCTTGATAGCCTATCCAAAATAATTTATCAGCAATTACAAAATATTACAATGAGTACGTTTAGGAGAAGTAGTTTATTAAGCAAGTATATGCATGGGTGACCGGCTGGGAATACCGAGTGTCGTAGGCATTTATCTGATTTTGCTGTCTTTCTAATGACTGCGAAATACAAATAGCCGAATAGCCACTACTGTTTAATCGCCTACAACCATACCACGTTGAATGCACCCGATCTCGTTCGATCTCGGAAGTTAAGCAATGTCGGGCTCGGTTAGTACTTGCATGGGTGACCGGCTGGGAATACCGAGTGTCGTAGGCTTTTCGTCGCCGTTTCATTCGATTTTGCTCTGTTTTCCAACAACTGCGAAATACAAATAGCCGAATAGACTACTACTTTATCGCCTACAACCATACCACGTTGAATGCACCCGATCTCGTTCGATCTCGGAAGTTAAGCAATGTCGGGCTCGGTTAGTACTTGCATGGGTGACCGGCTGGGAATACCGAGTGTCGTAGGCTTTTCGTCGCCGTTTCATTCGATTTTGCTCTGTTTTCCAACAACTGCGAAATACAAATAGCCGAATAGACTACTACTTTATCGCCTACAACCATACCACGTTGAATGCACCCGATCTCGTTCGATCTCGGAAGTTAAGCAATGTCGGGCTCGGTTAGTACTTGCATGGGTGACCGGCTGGGAATACCGAGTGTCGTAGGCTTTTCGTCGCCGTTTCATTCGATTTTGCTCTGTTTTCCAACAACTGCGAAATACAAATAGCCGAATAGACTACTACTTTATCGCCTACAACCATACCACGTTGAATGCACCCGATCTCGTTCGATCTCGGAAGTTAAGCAATGTCGGGCTCGGTTAGTACTTGCATGGGTGACCGGCT